ATGACAAAACAGTTAAGTCATGATACACTGTGTGCACACAAAGATTGGAAACAAATTACGTAACTCCTTGAAATTGTAAACGGCTCCATTGATTTGTACACGTAGATCGGCATTGTCGTCATGGCGCACCTTTTTGCTCTCAATTGAACCCCCCCCCCCGCCCCCCAAAAAACTGTGGGGGAGGAAGGGGGATATCATAATACAAGTCTATTTAATTCCCTTTATTCCAGGTGTAAACATTGCTTGTTAATCTTGTACAGATTGTGTCTCGTAAAATCTGCGCTTTGGAAATTAACGACAATAGCAACACCACCACCACCACCCACAACACCAGCAACAACAACAACATCAGGAAAGAGAGTTAAGAGTCTGAATTCGGATAATGTTTCATTGAGAATTATCCGGTTATCCTTGTAGTTTATTCGGATTTTGCCCACCTCTAATGACGAGGCATATTGTGTGTCACGACGTAGAGGAATCAGGCTCTCGTCAATTTTGGGGCATATAGCGTTATTGCTAGCATCTTAAAGCTTGTTCATGTGTTTCGCTTTCAATGGAAAGAATAGCCATCGATCTTGAACAGAAGACAAGATTTTTGCTGTTGAAGGAGATGAGTTTGCTTGGTTTGGTTGGTGAAATTGACGAGAAAATGGCTGCCAACGTTTGGTTACTTCGAAAACTGAAAAATGGTATATTGTGTGCCTTTTTTCCAATGTTTTTCCAGTAAATTTCACTTGTATTAACATAAAACAGGTTAATCCAAAGGGGGGGGGGGGTATTAACATGTTCTAATGAACAGTAAAATTGTAAATGGGCTGATTTATCTATGTCTTGTTCATACTGTGCCGGAACAACATATCGGGAACTGCTGATTTTTCCCCCCTCATTCTTACTATTGCCATTTTCCCTCTACTTTTTTTGTACTTTTGAGGCTAGAGAGGTGAGCAGAGGAAGCCTGATTCCCAGTTTGAACTTCTCTGTTGACATCCACCCCTTGGGGCTCATATGACCTTATGCAGTTGCGAGCGGACGCAAAACCTAACTAAAAGTAAACTAACCTACATTACTATTGTCCTGATCTTTTCTTCACTACCCTGTATAGGAAGCGAATGGGAGAGACCAAGCTAGAAGTGTAACTTTGCCTTTGTGTTGACACAATATGCAACACACACACACACACACACACACACACACACACACACACACACACACA